TTAGGGGATGTGCCAGGCAAAACACCTAGGACACCCATCACTGGCTACACTGACCCTCTTCCTGTCCCTACCTAGGTACTGGCAAGCTGGGCTTCTCCTTCGTGCGCATCACAGCCTTACTCATTGCGGGCAACCGTCTATGGGTGGGCACTGGCAACGGGGTTGTCATCTCCATCCCCCTGACTGAGAGTAAGTTCCCAACCCTAGAGGACACTATCAAGAAAGTAGCAGCTGCGCTAAAGAGTTCCCAGAGTAGGTGGGTGGGGAGCCACCTCTTTGGCCAAGCTCAGTCTTCTTTCCTCTCTCCTCCACAGCTGTGGTCTTGCATCGAGGCCAACTTTTGGGACTCCGAGGTAAGTTCTCAGCACTTGCCTCTTGTGGCTTAGGGCATTTGCTATGCCCCCAGCACTCACTTTCTCCAGATGCCTGCTGAAAATAAGGTGGTCCTATTCTCCTGTCCCTGTTTTCCCAGCCAACAAGACATCTCCAACATCTGGGGAGGGGACCCGCCCAGGGGGCATCATCCATGTGTATGGGGACGACAGCAGTGACAAGGCAGCCAGTAGCTTCATCCCCTACTGCTCCATGGCTCAGGCTCAGCTCTGCTTTCATGGGCACCGTGATGCTGTCAAATTCTTTGTCTCTGTGCCAGGTACACACGTGATCTTTAACCCACTTTGCTAGTGTAACACAGCTGTGACCTTTTCAGGAGGCTACAGCCCTGAGATTCCTCTGCCCATGACAGGAAATGTGCTGGCCACTCTCAATGGCAGTGTGCTAGACAGCCCATCAGAGGGCCCTGGGCCTGCTGCACCTGCTGCAGATTCTGAGGGCCAGAAGTTGAAGAATGCACTGGTGCTGAGTGGTGGTGAAGGTTATATCGACTTCCGCATTGGTAAGTAGGCACAAACTAGAGGTAGGGTCTGGTGTGGGCATGTGGGAGTCCTCATGGCTGCCAACCCTCTAGGGGACGGCGAGGATGACGAAACTGAGGAAGGTGCCGGGGATGTGAACCAAGTGAAGCCCACGTTGTCCAAGGCTGAGCGCAGCCACATCATCGTGTGGCAGGTGTCCTACACCCCTGAGTGAGAACCTGCCCTGCCTGATGCCAACTGTATATAGGACCCTACTTGCCTGCCCCCCCGCCTGTTCCCTGGGGCAGTCAGGTTCGTCCATCCCCTTTTAACCTCTCAACTTGCAGCTTTTTGCCTGAGGTCCAGCCCCCAGCTGTTAGAGAGGGGTGAAGCAAGTTTTGGGGAGTGAGGCAGGAGCAGATGTCTTTCCCATCAGGGAGGAGAGAGCCTCTGGGACACCCTCTCCAGCAGGCCCTGGCCAACACCCAGCTCAAATAAAGTCCCAGGGGCCCCTCAGGGTAAGTCAGGACCAAGAATGCTATGGGCAGCCCCCACAGGTGGCCCCGGCTCCACTCAGGCCTCATCAGTCCTGGCAGGAGCAAGAGCCTCATACTGCCTAGTCTTCCCCAAGTCTACTTGCTTTGCATGCAGCCCTGAGGAAGGGTTTCCTGATTCCCAAACCCTTGCTCTCCCTGAGGGACCCAGACCCAGCCACCATCCTCTGCCCAGAAACAAGGCCAGGACTATCTAGATTCAGGACCTCAGCCAGCCTACTCTGGGCTTTCCCCCATCTCCAAACTTACATTCCCTTGGCCCCCTGCCTGGGTCTTACCTGGGAACCTGGCATGAAAGCTCAGGGCCAGCCTCCCTGGGGCAGCTGCTTTAAAAGATGACAGATATCCATTAACCCAAGGGATCCCAAGATTGTCCAGCCCCTCACGGATCACTGTCCCCTAGGCTCTTCCTGGGCACAAGATTCATCTTGGAGGAGCAAGACCATCGAGCCCTGCCCCTCCCAGAATCCCCAAGGGTAGAATTTCTCAGGCTGCCAGGGCAGGCACAGGCCTCAGGAAGAAGGGTGGCCCTGGTGTCCCCAGAGTCAGTCCTAGGATGCAGGCTCAGCCTCAGGTTAATGGAGGATGGTGTGCTCCCAGGGCCTGCCTCCTGCACAGGGCTCCAAGGAGCCCAGTTCCCGGACACGTACTAAGTGCCTAGGGTTGCCAGCTGTGGCCTGCTCCTTTGGAAAGCAACTAACAAGAGGCTGCCAGGCAGAGGCCAGAAGAGCTGAGGATTGGCCAGGATGGGCACAGTTAAAAGCAAGTGTGTGGAGGCAGGTGCTGCCCTGGCCCTGGTCTTAAACTCTTCCAGGGGCAGTGATCAGGGTCAGCTGGCTTCTACTGCCCTCTCCCAACCAGAGAAGCACAGATCCAGGGGTGTTGCCCCTGAGCCCATCTGGCCATGACGAGCTGCATCAATATGCAGCTGTAGGCTTCTCCCCACCACCCTGCCACCTCTCCACTGTGATGTATGTCCCTTGTCTGTTCCCACAGGATTGTGAAGTGACTGGGGTTAACTGGGTGGGTGCAGCTGGAGGAAGGGGCCAGTGCAACTCTCCTCAGGCTTTGGCCTTGCAAGTGAACTCACATATCTGCTCTGTATGTAATAAATGTCTTAACACTACTTTTGTCTTGAAACTATGCCAGTGCACAAGGGTTTTCTGCAGTTTATTATGAAAAGAAATACAGGGAGGGATGTGGGAATGGCTGTCCCTGGACAGACTGGGTTGGGTGGACCGGCACCCACAGCACTATCACTGCTGCTGAGTTTCGTGAGGCTCGCAGAAGACCAACAACCTCCAGGTTGGTAATGCTGACTTCTGTGCCGTCTACTCATATAGCCAATGCCCGGCGCTGTCTTCCCAGCACAGAAGTTCATCCTCACGGAACCAAAGCGCAATCTCTCTGTGAGCACTTTCCACCGAGTCACTGCCATGAATCACATTCCTGTGCGGGAATGGCTAGTGAGCAGAGGAGGAAGGGTGAGGGTGGCCAGGGAGTTTGGTAGTACTTACTTGCCAACCTCCACGCAGAAATCCCCACGGATGGTGCCAGGCATAGCGTCCCCTGGGTCAGTGGCCCCTATGAGGGCCCGTGAGGCACGTACGACGTCCAGCCCTTGCCACACCTGCAGGGAGTACTGTCAGCGCCAAAAGGGCTCCCCCAAGGCTTCGCCCTCCCCTTGCAGGTTATCAGAAACTCACCATGGCCACCACCGGACCAGAGCTCATGTATTTAACTAATCGGCTGTAGAAGGGTCTTTCGTGCAGCTCCGCATAATGCTCCCGCAGCAGCTCTTCGGAGGCCTAGGGGAGGGGTAGCTTATCAGTGCCAGGGCCCTGACACTATGCCATCTCGATTCCCTTCCTGGATCTACCAGCTCCTTTGTGAGCCCATACCTTCACTAGCTTTAGTGCCACCAGTTTGAAGCCTTTCCTCTCAAAGCGACGCACGATCTCGCCCACCAGCCGCCGCTGCACGCCGTCGGGCTTCACTGCCAAGAACGTGCGCTCGTTCACGCCGCTGTAGGCTGCGGGAGCACTGGTTTCAGGCATGCCCCACCGCACTGCCCTCAGCCCAGACCCAGCCCGCCCTGGTGCTCACCTGCGGGAAAGAGGTTGGCGAAGATGGTTAGCACCAGGCAGATCATGGCGGCGGCTGGGGCGGACCAGGCGGCGAGGGGGCGGGGCCTCCCTTAAAGGACCTCGGGGCGCGGACTCTGCAGTCCCAGCACATTTGAGCCCAGGGCACAGCGACAGCGCCCAAGACCTGCCTGAGTGTACTGGAGCACCAGGAGCCCTGCTCCGCACTCCCGGCTTCCCTACTCCGCCCCCACCCCACACCCCGTCCTGAGGTGCCCACGTAATGAAAGCACAACACCGGCCGCTTCGTGCATTTATTTCCAGACGCAGGTATGAGCAAAAGGCCACCTGAAAATGACAGCCTGTCAACTGCCCCATCATTCATTGGCAGGTGTGTCAGGGCTGTAGGGTCTAACTCTCCACCAAAGGGGATGTTTGTCACAGTCTAAGATACTTGTTCATCAAATAACAAACATGGCCACTCTGCCCATCATGGATGGCAGTTAGACTGGGGTGCCCTTGGCCCTCCCTTTGGTCTCCTGTTTTGCAGGGTAGTCCCAAGGATGCACCCGAGTCCCCTCTAGGTTCAGGAGCGGTTCCTGGACGCTGGTATCCCCGTTTTTCTGTCGTTCAGCGAGGATCATGGCCCGCAGCAAAGGTGGGTAGGGGACAGGGTTCAATCCGTCCTCTGGTTTGGCAGTGAAGGCTGTGAAGGCCTCCTCTTCGTGCTTGGGTACCAGCCGCCAGTCGTGGTACATGACTTGCTCGATTTCCCGAGCTTTATCCTCAGTCTTCCCTGGGGAAAGAAGATAAGCTGACTGTCGGCTGGCTGGATAATCTGCGAACCACCGATTCCAAGCAGCACCCAGCCTTACCTTTGAAGGTCAGGATGCCCCAGGCCCTCCCGTGGTCCAGGTTCTGCAGAACAAGAGGGGGGATTGTCAACGTAGCGCCCCTGCCACTAAGTTACGTGGGTAAGGGAGACATAAAAGCCCAGGTGGTTCGGGGTGGGTAGAACCAGCTGATGTAGCCCAGGGTGGGCAAGATGGAGAAAGCGTAGACAAGAACGGGCAGCACAGTGAGAGCGCACCTGTGCCGTGTAGTCGGGTCTCACGCGCGTGAGGCGCCAGTAGCACGGCTCGTCGTGCTGCCACAGCCAGGACTTGCGGGTGACCAGACGGCCCAAGCCGAACACTGGGAGGCGGGCGAGCAGCTGGAAGAGGCGGCTCTCACGGCGCACGTCGGCCCAGGCGCGCACCGGCAGCCGGCGACCCGAGTGCGGCCGGGTCAGAGTCTCGTAGTCTAGGGCGTAGAGCTGCGAATCTCGCGGCTGGTTCCGCTGCTCGCGCAAGGCGCGCACGCGGCGGGCCAGCTCGGCGATCAGCCGGGGCCTCACTTTTTTCCGCGCCATGCCTGTGCCCTTATACCACCGGAAACCTGGCTTCCAGAGCTCTCCCGATCCGGAAGCGGACGGTGTCCGGTACAAAAACATCCGGGTACATCCGGAAGCTGTAGGAAAGGTGAGCTATGGAAGAGGTAGCACCCAGGAGAGTCACGGGCTCGTGTTGCGGCCGGGGCCGGGGCCGGGGCCGGGGCCGGGGCCAGCGGCGACCTCAAACCTGGGAGATCTCTGACTCAGACGGCGAAGGTGCCGCCGCTAGGGAGGTTGGCACGCAAGTCTCCAGTACAGTAAGAGAGGACAGGGCTGCGGCCAAGGCGTTGCGGGCGGATCAGGTCCTGAGTCGTCTGACAGTGTGTGTGGATCCAGGTGCGGGGCCCGGGGCGGAGAGGTTGGGAACTTGGGGCAGGCCATATACATCAGGGTGGCGTTGTCACCCACAAGCCCTCACGGGAGAGGGTGGAATGACCAAGCTGTCGCCTGCCTGGCTGTCCAGCTGTCCTGGAAGATGCAGGCTCCGACATCCTGATGGAGGCGCTGGGCACGCTAGGGTGTGAGTGCCGCATCGAGCCACAGCGCCAGTCCCGCAGCCTGCAGTGGAGCGTTGTCAGGCCCGACCCAGCCCCCAGCAGTGTGAGTGTCTCCCTATCACCAGCCCAGTGACAGTCTTATTTCATGTTTCACTTTTGCCTCTGGCTAGCGAAGTAGTTGCCTTCATCTTTCTTGCCTCGCACAGGAGTAACCTAAAAGCTGGAGGATACCCAACTCTCATTTCTTAATACAAGAAACCTGAACTCAACCGCTGCCATAATCTCCTGGTGGCAATGAGAATGGGGTCGAGGTTCCTGCTGTTCATGGAGTTGGGCTAGTTTTGTCCTCTGGGACTTCTCGGAAGCAGTCCTGGCAGACCTCAACTTAACTGTGTCGAGAGTAGGAGTTGCCGATAGTGTTTAATGACTGGGCAACCCCGGGTAGGGGTGGGGGAGCCTTGGGCCCACACAGGTGGTTAGCAAGACCGGTAATGTCTCCTACAGGTGCCTCTGGAGGCATGGGCTGAGAATGAGCAGGAACAGATGCTGCTGTTAGAACCCCCGGAGTTTCTTCAGAGTGCTATGCAGCTGACCCAGGTACTTGGGGGAAGACCTATTATTTGTCTTGTAGGGCTGGTTCCCCAGTCTCGGATGGGCTGGAGCTACCATAGGGATGTTGAGGATAATATGAGGAGACCTGCTGAGTGCTCTAGACACAAGAGCATTGAAGGTCCTTTGGGAGAACTAAGTATGGTGATCTGGGCTGCAAACTGGCCAGGGGTGGAGGAGGAACCTAGAATAGTGGCCGGTAATGTCCATATGAGGGGGCTGTGGGATCTGCCTACAGCAGTTGAGGATCCCTCACTCGGCTGCTGGTGTTCCCTAGACTCAAGGGAAACGATGCCTAACTGATCAATTTGCCTGCAGTACAATTCTGCTAAACTCTTTGTGGGTGCTGGTGTCCAAGGGCCAACATTTGTCAAGTACCTGCTGGGTGGCCAGCCAATGGCCAGCCTGGGTGTTGAAGTAAGTGGACCAGAGGCAAGGGGGCTGGCTCACTTCTACACCAAAACCTGGAGTGCGCCTGTGTACTCCTGGGCCTTAAGGAAGCAGATCCATTTCCTAGAGAACAGACCTATGAGCTTCATCCAGTTCCTCTTCCCTCTGGAAACCAGCCATACTGGTGGCTATGGGCCTGTAGCCATAGCCCTCCTGTGAACAGGTGTGTGGCTGTTCTTCCTTTCAGATCACAGGCCCACCTTGCTCCACGCCCTGGCTTTCTCCTAACAGTCCCACCCGCCCCCACCTGGCTGTCATTGGACTGGATGCATACCTGTGGTACCACTCTCCCTAAACCATAGGGCTGGCTTGGATGGGATTCCAGAAAAAATGGGATTGCCTCTAGGGGCTGCTGTGTTACAGCTGGCCCCACTTGCCCTGGGTGGGCCCTGCAAAGGCAAGAGACTTGGGAGCCCAAAGGTCCCCTCTGTTCAGGTCTCACCAACCCAGTTCTCAGAAGACATGGCAGCTAAAGAAGTCAAAGGACGCCCAATCCAAGGTGGCCATCAGCTGGCCTGAGGTGGAAGAGGTGAGGGCTGCCACTGGATGAGTAGATGGCTGGCTGGCCTTGGTCTCTGCACTTGGGCTGCTGTCTTCGACCTGTCAGAGCTAGGCTTAGTTTCTAGCATAATTGGGTTGGCCTTCCTCAGGGGACATCCAGCCCATTCCCACTCTTGTGCATCACAGGCCCTGGTGCTGCTTCAGCTCCACGCAAACCTGGATGTGCTGCTGGTCGCCTCATGGCAGGAGCTGAGTCAGTATGTGTGTGCCTTCACCAAGGCCCTCTCTCAGCGCCCCATTAAGTATGTAACCCTGCAGGGACAGAGTGGAGGTGGGACAAGACTGGACGGCTGCACAGATGAAGGGTCCTCAAATTGTCTGTCTGGGTTTCTCTCATTTCAGGCAGTACCGCGACTCCCTGGCCTTTTCCTTCTGTACAGCAGGGCACTGGGCCTCAGGCCAACGAGTGACCAAAGATGGCTCTGGGCTCCGAGGAGTGTGGTGGCAGCAAATCAGACAGTTCAATCGGGTCAGCTCAGCTGTGGCTGATGCTGTTGTCACCGCCTTCCCCTCCCCCCGCCTTCTGCAACAGGTGAATCCCCCAAGTCCCCCCTCCCAGGACTAGGACCTAATGCCCACTTACTCACACCTGTGCCCACTCTAGGCTCTTCTGGACTGCAGCACAGAGCAAGAACGCCTGAGTCTCCTAGCTGACCTCCCTGTGAAGGTCCACAGTGGCAGGCATCCCCGCAGGGTAGGACCTGACATCTCACGCCGAATCTGTGTCTTCTTGACCACCACCAACCCCGACCTTCTGCTGGACCTCAGCTCTTGACCACGCCTGTGACACCTTTGGGCTGCTTCCTGCCCATCAGCAGAAAAGGAAAAGCCTGCCCAAGAGACAGACTGACCGTCACTGAGAGGCAGGGGGGGGGT